CACTACTACTACTACCACCACTACGACGACGACAACGACGACTACTACTACTACTGCTACTGCTACTGCTACTGCTACTGCTACTGCTACTGCTACTGCTACTGCTACTGCTACTGCTACTGGTACTGCTACTACTACTACTACTACTACTACTACTCACCACCATCACCACGACAAGGACGAGCACTAGCAACAGTTAACGAGGATGTCGACGGTGTTGGTTGTGATGACGAGGTTGTTTGTTGCAGGTGTTGAATATGTTCATGAAGGTGACGATCATGAGAAAGATGCTGACGATGACCGCGTCGTCGTTGTTGTCATAATTAATAACGTTGGGATGCGGCTCACGCATCAGAAGTAGTAAGTAATCTAAGGAAGCAGCACCGCCAACCAACTTTTGCCAACATGTTGTCACTGTCACTTTCAAGCGAACACCAACAGCAAGCCCAGGTGCATGTTGCATGTCGCAGAGCTTCGTTGCACCGCGCCTTTTTCACTACTGTGTCTTTGTGTGAGTTTCTAGGGAGTTGTGACATATGAACCGACTCCGTGGTATGTGTGGCCTTGACTAGCCTGCATGTCGGCTCACAGAGTGCCCGCTCCTCCTGGGACCGGCGCCCTGTGCTCTACACGGTAGCGAAAGTGCCTCTATGCTGCACTTAAGCTCAGGCTGAGTTTTCACTTGCTGTAGCTTGACCGCGAGAGAGAGAGAGAGAGAGAGAGAGTGCTTTCAATGGTGTCTGTTGCAATTTCTATCTGCAGACTGTGGCTTGGTAGAGTGCATGTGACCTATGTGGCTTGGCGATATTGAAGCGAAGCAATCGAGGTAACCCAATTCCTTCGCATCATGGCCGCCAGTGTTGATGCGATATTCATGCTCGCTGCCTTCGCAGTGCCGGTGGCTGTGACCTACGGAATGCTGGGCCCCGGGCCGGGGGGGAGCGCTACCCTCAGCACCAGCTTTACCTGGCATCCGATTCTGATGTCGTCTGCTTTTCCTTGCTTGATGGTGTTGGGTCGCTGGGTTTACGTAACCGACTCTCTTGGAGACAAGCAACAGCAACGATCTGCACATCGCGGGGTCATGATGTTAAGCACTTTGGTTGCCATCGGCGGATACATCGCCATATTCATGGCCCACATCAAAACCCCGTCATTCTTCGGCTACAACTTCGCCAAGCACACTTGGGCAGTTCCGTCACGAATAGTCCACGACTTCTTGGGATATTCTGTTCTATTGCTGATGCTCTTTCAGGCAACAGTAGGTTTGATGAAGTATTGGAAGTTGCAGGCCGGGCAGAAGTCCTTTCCATTTCATGGAAGCCTGGGGAAGCTCATCATCCTCCTCGGATCGGGCAACATCCTCACTGCCTGCATCTTCTGGAGCTGGAGTATGGCCTTCAAAGCACTCTTGGCCGGCCTCGCCTTGTCTGCAGCCCTCTGTGGAGCCTTCTGGCCTGCCCCTGAAAGGCCTGAAACTGCACCCCTGGCAGAATCCACGAAGCCCTGACGGCCGGATCGACCTGACCGACTTGAGCTTGAAGCGATGATCTAAAGAGGTGCTCCATGGTGCTGGCCGTCCCCCCACTGCAACTCTCCCCGGAAGTAAGTAGCGGCCTTGACCGAGGTGAGCCCCGCATCTTAAAAGTTAAAGTCTAAAGAGAAATCATGGACATGCCCGGTTCTGGGAGAGGTTTAGGTAAGCGGCTGATCCCCTAGTTCGAGCCAGCTAATACAGTGTGTTCATGCTTGACCTTTGTACTTATTGTCAGTCATTGGCATACTCTTTGTCTTGGGGGTGTTCTGGTTCTTGTGAGCAGAAATAGTACGGTTTTCAGTCTTGAGATCTCGACCGTGCTGTGCCAGGATCCACCTCAGGAAGCAGACATCGAGCAAAAGGAGGCGCCCGCTTCAGTGTTTAGGGACAACATAGAACGCCAGGAGGACTGTGACTACATAAGACTAGCTTAACGATAACTTACCATGGTAATAGCAATAGGAATAGGACTCATGACACATCATTAGTCCTATTCTTACTGTTATAATCATAGTAAATGGTAAGTTATCGTGTTTGAACAATGATAACAAGTACCTCTGTTGCTGTCCGCCCTCAGGAAGGCCAGAGCTCGCCAGTTGCCTCCAGAAAACTGGCCCTGGACTTTGGTGTCTCTGCTGCAAAGTGATGTACAGATCCATGGGGTTAGGGTTTAGGGTTTGAGGATGTTTGCGCTTTCTTCTCAAAGCTGTCGCAAGGAAGGGTGGTTGGGAAGGCTGTCAGGCTCGAAAGTTAATATGAGAGACCGCGGCCTCCGGAGTGTGCTGCAAGGTATCAAAGACGACGGCACAGCAATTCTCGGCATCAACAGCCCCTTGCGCGTTCCAACTCCCTTGAAAGGCCTGGCCTTCGGAACATCTCAGCAAGCGAGCGTCACACAGGGTTTATAAGGTTTAGGGGATCGTCCAGGGCTCCTTCGATGGTGCTTGGGGTTTGCGCAGTGTCAGGGCGAAGCTGAAGCTCGCCGGAGCCGGGAGCCTTTGCTGAGTGCATCACTGCAACGGCCAACGTATGCTGTTGCAGCGCGAAGCAACGTGCTCATGTATCTCACGTCTCAGTCTCATTGAACGCAGAAATTTGAGAAATCTGCCACTCTGTGCCATGAAGTTATGTCGAAAGAGGCATAGTTATAGAGAAGCAGTGGATCGAGCAGGAGCCCAAAAGCACTCTCTTCTTCAGGCACATGCCAATCCCGCATTGTCTCATGTACAGCAGGATGTCTACACGCTCATAATTCGCAATTCGTGCTCGCGGCGCATGCTCAAGCTGGAGAAGGGCTCATCGCGCCTATGTGGAAAATGCTCAGCAGATTGCGCTTGAAATCAGATGCACTGCTTCGTCCCGTGTTCATGTGCCGGCTGAACTGACTGGATCCCGAAAGAAACTGAAGCGGAACATAGACATTTGGAAGAGCCTCCAGCAAAATGCAGCTCAGCAGTTGTCAGAAGCCTGCGCGACAGATCCTTCCAAGTTTAGCTTCGAAATCCCAACTCCTAGAAAGCGTATCGTTCTGATAAAGGTTCTCAGCCTTCAGCATACATAGCTGCTTCTGGGTCAAAGCTAAGGGAACGCTTTGGTCTCCCGAAAATGTAACCATGGGTTCAGCTGCGGGTCTTGCTTGAGCAGCAGCCTGTATCAATAAACCGCTTCTGCACGAGGCTCGCAGCCGACCCCACCCGAAATCTGTCATGTTGCCACGGAAACTCCTGGCCGCCCTGGATGATGCTTGAATCTCGAGCGGCTCAACTCTCATTGCTGAACGTAGCCGTATCCTGGCAGCGCTGCTGTTGCGGCATGGTGCGGGGGATGTCCGGTGAGGCTACCTTACCGACTCACGGTCTGCACATATCCATGCCGTCGAGGTCCTGGAGGTTATCTCTCCTCCTCCTTCCAGCGGGCGCAGCAGTGTTGCCCCGCCTACTATCCAGGGCAATCTCGGTCTATCCCTTGCGCTGCGTCGCGACGTGCCTTTCCTTCAAGCGACATCCGAATGAACTCTGCCGAGCCCCCCCTCACTCATCGCATGAGTGTATGTAAGCTAGCGTCATGGGATCTGGGCGAAATCGTTAATGCCCGTAATAATGCGAACGCTGGATGTCCGCGCAAACGGTGCCTAAGAATCAACACCGCGACGCTCATGCTAGAATGCTGCCAGCAACGTGAACAGACAGAAACGCCAAGGGGGATTGGTCGATGCCACCGATAATTAGTGATGTGTGTCTCGAAGAAATGCCTGCATCGTCGCATATCGCGATTTCGGACCGAGTCTGTGAGCCCCACGAGGCCTAGTATTCGGCACACCCTTCGGCAGCGATGCCTGCGTCCACTGTTTTCGAGGGGCTCCATGGGCTTGCGGCTGAGGCAACGCCAGCAGTACCTTTTCGAGATACAGATCAATGATCCTCATGAGGCATCAGAACCACAGCAAGGCTAGCCATTCCCCATGAATGCTGGATGACCTTGCCGGAAACGGGACGCCCATATGCGCAGCTGCGGTTAGTCTTATGCAGACAGCAGGAGGGCGACTTGGCAAAGGCACGTGTTGCCAGCGATGCGAAGTCGATGTGGTCTGGCAGCACAGCGCGGTGTATGCAGATGCAACCCTCGAGTTGCAAAGCATCAGGCCAATGCAAACTACCTCGCCCGTGCGTGTAGCCACACATGCATCGCGGAGGTGGCGATACTCGTCGAACACCACGGAGCTTTGCGTTCCGAACGGGCGGAGCATGCGCAACCCACGGAGACGTATGAGGAAGCGGAAGAGGAGGCCAGTCACATCCGAACAGGAAGCGCATGGGACAGATCAGACGGTTGTGTCTCGAGTGCACGCTCTTCATGGACGTGGGGGGTACGGTTCCGACCACGCACATACTCGGCTCAATTTTTTTTGTTGGACCGGGGACCCGTGATCGCACGTGTGCACACGTCGACCTGTCCGATGCGGCAAGGTTCGATGGCTCCTTTAAGCAGCGCGAGAAGCCTGCGCAAGCAGCCACCCAGCGCAAGGGGTCGGCTCAGGTCTCAATCCGGCCCCCATGCCGGTGCATGGCGGCTGACGGCACTGCCGACTGCCCACCACCACGATGGATCCGCATGCCATGCAGCTGTCGCTGGCAGCGCTTGCAACTCCCTCTGCCACTAAACCCTGGTCGCGGCCGCTGCAGCCCCACCCCAGCCTGCAGGCTAGTAGTCGATGCCTATGGCGACCAGCTTTGGCATGCCCGCGCACCGGCCTTCTTGCCAGACACGCTACAATAAGGTCGTCGAAAGAGCGTGCACGCGCGTTGCTCGCTAGGCCGTCGCTGCAGAAGGCCAAGTCGTCTCGCAGCAATGGTTGGCGCATGTTGGCGCACACCACGGCGTGTGCTGCGATGTTACTTTGGTGTCTCCATTGGCACCGACAGGTCAACCACAACTTTGTTCCGAGGCGCTGCCATGTTCTGTTGCGGGTCACTGAGCGCCACAAACGGGCGGCGTACATGCACCCCCATATGCAGCTCGCTGCCGCGGCCCACACAGTGTTGGGATCAGAACTATAAGGACGGTCAATTCGTGCAGGACATCCTCCGTGTAGCACCGCGCCCCGCCAACATTGCATAGGCAGCACGGACGACCTGGATGCGAGGCATGGCCCGCGCCGAGCGCCGTAAGTTACCCGGAGGTGAGTTGCGGCGCATCCCGCCTCTGCCGTTTGCTCCGTATTCTGCGTCTCGCCGTGTTGTACATGTCCACGCCTTCGGTGGAAAATGTTTATTCTCGCACCATTTCGTGCAAGCCTGCATGCGCGAACGAAGCTCTCGTGTCGGGTGGCGGGCGCACGGAACTGTGAGCGCATGCACGCCGGCCAGAACCGTCCTCAACCTGGGAGATCCTGGGAGCGGGAGCAGCTGGGACATTGCACGCAAGCCTAACCACCTCGCAACCCGAGCCGAGTGCATGGTCAACCACAAAGCTGCAGGGACGTCAGAGATTACAGTGGCTGGTTCACACAATGCCGCACCGGGTGTGAGCGGAGGAGAGACGCCACCTCGAGTTGGTCATATATGGTGCGACCGCCCTGTAATTGGTCTCATTCAGGGCGCCCGCTAGCTAGGCAGCCTAGTGGGCAGCCCGGGGCCCCACAGCAACGCAAACGCGCTACTTACTGTCCAGGGTCGAAGTCCTAACGCTTTCCTCGGGTACCAAGAATATCGAGTTGTGTTTGGTCGCATCGATCCAGTGTGCTAATGGGGGTCCCACTGAAACGTAATATTGTCATTCCTGACAATCCGCAAATGTGATAATCAGGTGCTCCGAGACCTCGTCCGCGTCCGTGCCCTGCGAGCTCCGCCAGCTGTGCGAGGCGCCGCTTCGTCGGCATGGGCCAGGCGTTGATGGTCCATGCTGGCCGTGTCGGTACAACAAGCCGTCACGAGCGGGTCTACTTGGCCGGCGCTCCGCAACGCGAGCCGACAGTCGGCCCCAGAGCTGGAACGGGCGCGAATTTCCTGACACAGCAGGGCCGAGCCGCCTGCCGTTTCGCGGCCGGTAGGGGAAGTCATAGGGTGGAGGCATCGAGTTCTCGCAAACAAAGCTCGCTGGCAGAAGCCGTCGACGGCCTGGGACGCGGCACGCTGCCAGCCACGAGTGTTGTCAAGCTGTGGCTCGTCTCGAACGAGCGGACAGGGCACTTCTCCATGGAGCAGGTCGTGCCAGGATTCAAAGCCAACGGCGGACACCGAGGCGCGGGCAGTTTGAAGTTGCAGCGCTTCCGACAACTCGCATGCTGTGTCTAAGTCGTAGACAAGTCGAAGGGCGAAAGCGCGGTCGCGCTTGAGCAGAGTTGGGAGGGTGTCGGCCGTTTACAGGGTCGTTTGGCAGGATTCCCTTCCCGTGCTGCTCGCCCGCCCTCCGGCTGAAGCGGAGCAGCTTCTCGCCGGCCTAAACTCACGGCATGCCGGCATGGCCCTGCCCTC